ATTATTTCTTTCCCTGAAACAACATACAAATCATTATCTAATAATTTAAAAGACAAAATAATGTACAAGTAATGTGAGATGTCTCAATAGAAACAAAAAGTAGAAGAATTCATTCTTTTTGCATGCTCTTTTATTCTCAGGAACCATCAAGTCTCACAGTAACTTTTCTCTTCGATTCGGTTCAACTTTTTATTAACTTGAAACACCTTACGTACAGAAAGAAACAAAATTTTCACAAAGTACACGTACTATACATTCCTTTTGGTTGAAAAATCCTCCTTGACGATTTTCTTTTTCCTCTGAAATTACCAGATTTATTCGGTTGGAAGACGAACAACGTCTAATTGGCGTGTGATAAGAGCTCAGCTTCTTAAATCTTTCTTCGCCAGTTTCCTTCTCCTTTTATCTGCCTAGCGATCATTGTGTTATTATCTCGCTCGATTCCACCTCTACTTTATGGTTCAGCGAGAAGAACATATCGTGAAACGTACGTAGGAAACAGGCTGATTTCATCTTGATATTTCCCGACATTAGTATAGTTTATAAACACATTTATGACCATTATCGATATGTTTTTACATCGTGATTCAACGGATAATAATATAGTTTGGTATTTCAATTGTGAATTTACGTGACTCATGACGCAGAGTTCAGTCTCGTACGTGTATGTGTATGTTATTCCATTATTGACGCAAATTATCCTTATGAAAAGATCGTCTGCGGGATTAAGCAATAAATGGTATGAAGCTATGGCTTGCGAGTAATTTCAGACTAAAAAAAAAAAAAAATTTTGAAAAAAATTTTTCAATTTTCTAATTGAAATAAAGTACTTGAAGTATTTTGCGATTTTCCCTTGATTTAATTAAACGTACATTTTATATAGTACATAAGATTTTTCTCAAATGCCTCCGGAGAAGATATCATTTCTCCCTTTGTCTTATTTGCGCAGTGTATTTGCTTTTTTAATATTTTTCTCTAATAATAAAATAGTTTGATAATACTTTATACTAACGATTATCTTTTTGAAAAAGATTATAAATTCAATTTCGTGAGTATACTCTTCAAGGTTTTACGCAAATTCAGGTCAATAGATTAATAAGGTGATTTATTAATTGTGGTCGTTTAACAATAAATTTGTTTCCAAGAAATCATTTAAGAAATTTAAAAACTCAATTGCGAACGCGAATGTAAAATTTAAACTTCGTTACGGCAGCACGAAATGAAATCTTCTTCTTTGTGAAAATATTTTATTAAATACAGTTGAATGAAGAATTAAAATTTTGTTAGTCGACGCGACATTGAAATGTATAAATGAAAATATGTCATAATATTGTTATTTACTTTTCGAAAATTCACAAAAAAGATATCAACAAAATTTAGTGGATACGCAATAACACATGTAAGTAAGAGCTTAGTTCACAAATTCTTCAGTAAGTACAAGATATGGCACAAGAATATACATTTTGTTACAATATGACAATCATTGATAAACTGAATAAAATAGAATCACTAATTTCCCTGGTAATATTTTAACATGATCTACAATTATTCTAATTATAGGAATAATATATGTAATTATTTGGATCTCTGGGATTGCTGTAAGGATTCCTGGGATTGTTGTAAGAATCATCCACTGGAACGAGTGGAATGTCTAGAGATTCAATCAGCTCAACATCTGGTTTCTGGCATGCCAATGCTCCACAACGATTTTTGCAACATTTCAACGTTCCTCTACAATGATTGTCAACGCTGCAGGTTGATGAACACACCCATCTTCCTTTTGGTTCTGCTGGGCATGAACCTGGTTTCTCTAAATGTACAGGTAAAGTCAAATCTTTTCTTCAATGAATTTCAAGTTGAACAGTTTTCTTTTTCTTCCCTGAATATTTTATATTGGAGAGAATTAAAATAATCTGACATCGTTTTTGTTAATTATTAAACGTGTCATTTTACCTCTAGAAACTGCTTCCACCTTGGTCACAGGTTTTGTGCAAATAAAGCCTCCGCAATTGGTGGGGCAACATTTACCAACGTCTGAGCATTGTGCGTCAGAGAAACAGGACTGGCTACAAATCCGTACTGGCAAAGGTGGTGGACAGGAGCCTGGTTTCTCGAAATCATATCTGAAGGCATTTTTATTCTGATTTTATGAGGAAGATTCACTAGCAGACTGCGGATATTTATGCAGATTCGTGTCTTTGTCGAAACAAAAGAGATTACAAACTTACTATATCTCAAATATCTTACAGGTATTCTCAGACATTATTGTAGTTGTAAATCTTCTACAAATGCACAAAGATCAGCGGTCTATTAATCGGAAACAATTAATTAACTAAACAAACCTGAGTTGACCAATCGTGGTGGCCAACGATAACATCAACACCAACACTATCGACAGCAACTTCATTTTCTCGATTATTTATTCACGTTGAATTACTACAAACAAAGGATACGTGCGTAAAAATTGTTATTACTTCGAACTTTTTTTTTTCGTAAAATTTGGCAACACTATTCTCTTTGATGAAGATAACAATCACTCTGAAAAATCTCGTCAATATATTAATTACTTCGTGTTAATACTTACAGAATTGAAAACTGATGGTTTTGTAAAACCGTCGCGAATCGACAGACAATGAGCCAGGTGATCGAGGCTTCTGCTAAAGAGAGTAATTTCTCTCCTATATAAGATCGATCCCCACTTAATGATAATTGTACGGAGCACGTGGTTACTCTGGCAACGGAAATCAAGGATCGTTGGTCCTACCTCGGATGTTGAACCGCAATTAGCTGGGCAAATCCAATTAACGAATAAATCTAAATCGGGCGGAAGGAAGATAGTGGTTTCTGCGAGCCCCAGAAATAAACGAATGGACGTCTGGACGATTTCCTGGTCGTTGAGCCGGGGGGAACAACTTCTCTTCTTCTGTAATGTAAGTTTATAGTCTCTCCTTTACTCTCTCTTGTTCTAACACATCTCTTCTTATTTCAGAAATCAATGAATATTATTGTTATTATATTGAATGTTGAAACGGAAGGAGTTATTGTTAATGAAAGTAAAATTAAAAGGAAAATTCGCACAAGGTGAAATTTCATCCATAACAGTCTTTAAGAGTTGATTTATAAATTTAAAAAGAACATTTGAGGGAATGTCAGTATGAAATTCGTAGAATTTAGACTTGTTTTAATAGCAATGACAAGGTCAGATTATCTTAAATTTCAAGCGTTCGTTTTCATCAGATAATAGAAATACCTTTATGTTAGAAAAAAGTAGTCGCTCTTGGTGAAAGAATGGACGAGTCGTTCGATTCGTACATGTACTGAATGTATTTTCGAGAATTCAAAAACGTCCGGTAATTCCTGGCCGTGATGTTGACACTACAATAGGTCGTCCGCTACTGTCGATGCATATGCAATCGCATGTTTTATTCAGAAATACACGAGCGTGACATCACTCGTACAGAATGTTTAAAAAAGCAAAAATAACAGATGAATCTACACTGAGATCTGTTAAAAAAAGAACGTACCGTAAAATCCAAGGTCAGCTTTTGTATCTCACCGCATCATACAGTATTCGACATGAGGAGCAAAAGCATCAGAAGAATCAATTGTTCTCTTGGAGAATGATATAAAAATTCTAGAACTTATATTAAGAATCATGATTTTCAAAACAGAATGACAAAAATTTTTTTCCCTCGCTATTCGTAAAGTTTGCACAAACTTAGGCGGCAAAAATTGCGCATTAGAGCGTATAATTACTGAGGATAACCGGTTTTCTGTTTCGCAAACAGACGTGACAATTCTTGTAGCGCAGATCTAGCAAAAATTACGACTTTAGATTGTGTATAAATTACTTAACTGCTTAATAGTTATTGCTCCATGCTTCGCTACATCTTATGTAATTAATATTAACTGATGATCCAAGTAACACGAACGAATTATTTCGATTGAAATGATTTTGCAGTTTCTATTATTTTCAGCTTTATTGTTGTAAACATAAATATAAAAAAAGACTATAGCAATACTCTCTACTGGTAAAAATAAAAAAAAGTCATTTTGTAAAATATCATTGCTCTAGGCTATTACAATTAGAACGATAAATGCATCCTTGGTACTTAAAAACACAATTCGTCGTCGCTCTTAGAAAAATGTTGGGAATTTCGACGCCTGTACAGAGTATCGTTAGAGAATGATTACAATGGTCTGGTGCATGAGTAAATAATTAGGTGACGCCGTTATTTTCTTAACGCAGTCTTTGGCGTCATTCACATTTCTTCTTAACAATTGCCGCACTAAATCGACTTAACTTAATCTTAACGATTAATACAGATAATTGATAATAATAATAATAATAATAATAATGATAATAATGATAATAATAATAATAGAATATTAGAGCAGAGGACAGTATGTACAGATTATGATTTTGGCTATCCGCCAAAAAATGAAAATTTGATTTGGCGCTCGCTAGCATTGTATTCATTGATGGATCGAGATCCGAGTATTAATTAATGTACAACTAGTGGCATAACTAGAAAGCCTCGAATACTTATTAATTAATTCATAAAATTCGAAATTGGAAAAAGAAAAAGAAAAATGACAAGAATAATTGTCTCAGTGGCTTGAACTTGGGAAACTCAAGATCGATCCCAATGAGATCCCTAAATTTTTTACTAATTTCATAAATTTATGGAAATGTCAAATTACAATTGACAACTAATTATACATTTGTTTGCTTTATTCTCGCAACGCACTCGCGAGACAGTTTTAAAATAATAACGGCCAGTAAACGCACTTAAACAATAGTAGAACAGCTTAAAAAGTATTACAGATCAAGTTACGCGTCACCGAGTATTCGAATAAAGGAAAACAGAGATAAAAGAACGGAGTTAATGTACACAGAAAGCATATGGGCCATAAAGGCTATTTTGAAACGAACAATGTACATTTAAATATGCTGCTAACACTAACGATTACGAAGAACACCGACGTCGAGTACTTGAAATTATGTTCGTTATGAGAGCATTGTTTTTGAACGATCCACTTATTACAATTTTTTCTAAGAAACGATCTTGAAAGCAACTTCTTTCCCATTCCATTTGTAATAGTCTTCTACTTCTTTGTAACAACTGCAACGGAAAATAGAAAAAAGAATTCTTAAGAATTGGTATTCATAAGAGCAAAGTGATATGTGTGGTATAACGATCAAAGTAGCCAACGATGATGAAAGTTCACTTAGGTAACAATCTTCGTTAGTCATTTTACTGTCAAGTAAAATGAGAACGGCCAGTGATTAAATTGGTAAGGAATTTGCGGGGCAGTCGTTTTTTAGTCAGTTAGTTGTGAATGTAATTTAAATTCCTTAAAGAGTTGTTTTTAAATTATTTCTAAGCATATGATGAACGAGCAAGAATGTTTGGCATACGTATTTGTGATATTAGCTTGATGAAATTTTTCAACGTGTAGAGAAAATATTTCATTCTTTAAAAGAAATCGAAGAACCATCAAATATTATCGTTATATCTGGTCATTTTGTAGT